GGGCCCCTGCTATGACTGTCTGGCCCGGCCCCTTCTATGGCTGTCTGGCCGGTCCACTGCTATGGCTGTCTGGCCTGGCCCCTGCTATGGCTGTCTGGCCGGGGCCCTGCTATGACTATCTGGCCGGACAGTGGGGGAGGGGTAGGGGGGACACTTTCTGGGAAGGGGGTATGAGATGATTGAAGGATGTCCTCCGGGGTTCAGCAGGAAAGGTCACTGTCCTCCGGGGGTCAGCGGGAAAGGGCATTGTCCTCTGGGGTCAGCAGGAAAGGTCACTGTCTTCCGGGGGTCAGCGGGAAAGGTCACTGTCCTCTGGGGTCAGCAGGAAAGGTCACTGTCCTCCGGGGGTCAGCGGGAAAGGTCACTGTCCTCTGGGGTCAGCAGGAAAGGTCACTGTCCTCCGGGGGTCAGCAGGAAAGGTCACTGTCCTCCGGGGGTCAGCAGGAAAGGTCACTGTCCTCTGGGGTCAGCAGGAAAGGTCACTGTCCTCCGGGGGTCAGCAGGAAAGGTCACTGTCCTCCGGGGGTCAGCAGGAAAGGTCACTGTCCTCCGGGGGTCAGCAGGAAAGGTCACTGTCCTCCGGGGGTCAGCAGGAAAGGTCACTGTCCTCCGGGGGTCAGCGGGAAAGGTCACTGTCCTCTGGGGTCAGCAGGAAAGGTCACTGTCCTCCGGGGGTCAGCAGGAAAGGTCACTGTCCTCCGGGGGTCAGCAGGAAAGGTCACTGTCCTCTGGGGTCAGCAGGAAAGGTCACTGTCCTCCGGGGGTCAGCAGGAAAGGTCACTGTCCTCCGGGGGTCAGCAGGAAAGGTCACTGTCCTCCGGGGGTCAGCAGGAAAGGTCACTGTCCTCCGGGGGTCAGCAGGAAAGGTCACTGTCCTCCGGGGGTCAGCAGGAAAGGTCACTGTCCTCCGGGGGTCAGCAGGAAAGGTCACTGTCCTCCGGGGGTCAGCGGGAAAGGTCACTGTCCTCTGGGGTCAGCAGGAAAGGTCACTGTCCTCCGGGGGTCAGCAGGAAAGGTCACTGTCCTCCGGGGGTCAGCAGGAAAGGTCACTGTCCTCTGGGGTCAGCAGGAAAGGTCACTGTCCTCCGGGGGTCAGCAGGAAAGGTCACTGTCCTCCGGGGGTCAGCAGGAAAGGTCACTGTCCTCCGGGGGTCAGCAGGAAAGGTCACTGTCCTCCGGGGGTCAGCGGGAAAGGTCACTGTCCTCTGGGGTCAGCAGGAAAGGTCACTGTCCTCCGGGGGTCAGCAGGAAAGGTCACTGTCCTCCGGGGGTCAGCAGGAAAGGTCACTGTCCTCCGGGGGTCAGCAGGAAAGGTCACTGTCCTCCGGGGGTCAGCAGGAAAGGTCACTGTCCTCCGGGGGTCAGCAGGAAAGGTCACTGTCCTCCGGGGGTCAGCAGGAAAGGTCACTGTCCTCCGGGGGTCAGCAGGAAAGGTCACTGTCCTCCGGGGGTCAGCAGGAAAGGTCACTGTCCTCCGGGGGTCAGCAGGAAAGGTCACTGTCCTCCGGGGGTCAGCAGGAAAGGTCACTGTCCTCCGGGGGTCAGCAGGAAAGGTCACTGTCCTCCGGGGGTCAGCAGGAAAGGTCACTGTCCTCCGGGGGTCAGCGGGAAAGGTCACTGTCCTCTGGGGTCAGCAGGAAAGGTCACTGTCCTCCGGGGGTCAGCGGGAAAGGTCACTGTCCTCCGGGGGTCAGCGGGAAAGGTCACTGTCCTCCGGGGGTCAGCGGGAAAGGTCACTGTCCTCCGGGCGTCAGCGGGAAAGGTCACTGTCCTCCGGGCGTCAGCGGGAAAGGTCACTGTCCTCCGGGCGTCAGCGGGAAAGGTCACTGTCCTCCGGGCGTCAGCGGGAAAGGTCACTGTCCTCCGGGCGTCAGCGGGAAAGGTCACTGTCCTCCGGGCGTCAGCGGGAAAGGTCACTGTCCTCCGGGGGTCAGCGGGAAAGGTCACTGTCCTCCGGGGGTCAGCGGGAAAGGTCACTGTCCTCTGGGGTCAGCAGGAAAGGTCACTGTCCTCTGGGGTCAGCAGGAAAGGTCACTGTCCTCTGGGGTCAGCAGGAAAGGTCACTGTCCTCTGGGGTCAGCAGGAAAGGTCACTGTCCTCCGGGGGTCAGCGGGAAAGGTCAATGTGCTCCGGGGTGGAAGGAATGTCGGACGTTCAGTCAGGTGACACACATGGAAGGAGCCCGGCCAGAGACAACAGGAAGAAGCAGATTTGTCCTTCCAGGCCGTATAGAGGGCCATTCATAGGAGGATGGGCCGGTATACAGACGCCCCTTGTACTCATGTGTGGTCACCGCTCACATTCCATGACCTAAATTCCACCAGGAACCAGGCACGGGCCCAACATCAGGACGTGGAGGAATATTAACGTTTGGTGGAGCTCATTGCATGCCATGGAAGAACGTTTTCCACACACTCCACGTCATTGTGCGGAGAAGGAGAGCCAGGGAACCTCAGATGTAGGAATCAGGCGACAGACATCCCGGAATCTCCGGAGGAACATATGTGCACATGTATGGAGCCAATGTGCCGTGACCTCCTCACATCTGATTGGAGTTACCATGGTGGGCTGCGGCAATCGGCATGACAACACCAAGATTCTGTGCCACAGATGTGTGGTAATGAGTCACGTACACTCTGTTCCTGCTCCCTACTCTTCCACCAATGTATCACCATATCACCGTCCTCTGCCGAATGCCACCAAGTCCCCTCTGCCCAACGTGTCCTTCACCTCCGACCACCACATCCAGCATGTGCCCCAATCACCGGCTGAGAACAACCCCTCCACAGACCTGTCCTCATACCCCGACTGTCCTCATACCCCAAAGAAACCCCTCCAAAGACCTGTCCTCATACCCCGAGTGTCCTCATACCCTGTAACAACCACCCCGGAGGTTGGCTGTTCCCAGGACCGCAGCTGCGGTTAAGGATCTCTCCTTAAAGGACGGGTATCAGATTGTAGCTCTCCTCTTTAGCCGAGTATGTTTTTAGGCGAGGAGGGAGCTACTCAACATCATGCCCCGTATTGCAGCACTACTACCCTGTGGGATGTCTGTAGGGTAGTGTGGAACACAGATCGGCAGTTCAATTGGGTAGTAGTTGTAACAGCTGTCAAGATAACGATTAGTAGCTCATAAGGTATGAGTATGGCATAGAAGATCAATAAGTAACGGCTGGCAACATATCAGTTAGTGGTTCATTAGGTATGAGTCATTGCATAGCAGACCAATAAGGATGAGTTGTAACACAGTAGTTTGACTAGATGCGAGTTCTAACAGCTGACAAGATCATTAACTAGTAGATCAGAGGTATAGGAGCTGAAAGACAGTAACTCAGTTGGCAGGAGTTGTAGCAGCTCCCAGGGAAACAATTAGCACTTCAATATAGAGATGATGTATCACAGCACACAGCATATCAGGCTGCTGGACAATTAGTTAGGAGCCTCGAGGTTTTAGCAGGTCAATGATTCTGGCCGAAGCCTGGTACTTGCACTTGTGCTGTCCCCAGGATGGGGGAGTGACGGTTCCCTGGTGAGATGCTTCCGTGGATCCTTGTTTGAGGCAGGAAGGGTTTGCTTTGATCAGCGTCCTGCTTCCAAAATAGTGGGA